GGATGTCCTGGACAAGGACCTCGAATCCCATCCCAGGACCAACGTCCGACTAAGAAAATCAACAAAGCAGGAATAAAAATAGAAGTAGGGGCCTCCCCTACCTTCGCTGCGCCTAACTCTCTTTCCCCGCCATGTCTACTTCACCGTCCCCTTCGTTTGAATGCACCTGGCTCAAACCCCATCCGGGTTCGCTCCCGACTCCCTTCCTGTGTCTTGCTACCCCGGTTCTCCGTCCGTCCTTCTAAGCGCCTGTCGTTCCATCTTTCATTCTTGCGCTGCCTAGCTTTAAAGCCTTTGCACCCGCCTCCTCTCACTCCCTTTCTTCCTTGCATGTACTTGGACTTTGTTCTGGTCCCGATTCGTTTGCCCCCTACCTCGCCCGCTGCTAGTCTCCTCCTTGACTGTTGGCGGCTTTACCTCCAGTCACCCGCTACCTCACCGCCGGCCCTACGCTACCTCGCTCCCTCTGCCAGCGCGCAGGCACCCGGCACCCCCGTACGACCAGGTTCGCCCTGCCTACTTCACAACGTTAGCGCCCGTTTCTCCACTGCCCCGCTTCCTTACTTTCTCGACAGAGGTTGATCAAGTTTACAGATCAAGTTCCATCATCTGGGTTCGAACACGGACCTGTGTTTCAACAGTTCGCGGGTGTACCCACTGAGCTAGGCCCTTAGGGCCTGCCGCACCCCCACTTCGCCGCGTCCCAAGACAAGACGAGGCGTGACTCCGACGCAGCCACGAAAACAGCTTGTAAGTGCACTTCAGGCAACCCCCGCGAATGCAACACACCCCATGTGACTTTATCGCAGCCTCGCGTCCCTGAATGGGACGCGATACGACGAGGATCCGAAAATAATAAAACGAAAAAGAAAGGCAATACATAACTAAACATAATAGTGTCGAGGATCAGCGGGGCTGCGTATACCTCACCAGTCCCGCGGGGCAGGCCCGCCGCCACGCTCGCCAGCAAAATCCGAGGGGGATAGCCCTGTCGGGCCCTCAACCCAATCGGCTCCCTCCTCGATGCTCCGCTGCCGCTGCGTCGACGCTTGCCGGCCTCGATCCCCGAACCTTCGTAGTGCCAGTCCAATGTCGTAACCTATGGGGCTAAGCCCAAGCCTGAGACCAAAACACGCAGAGTACTATACAAGACGGTGCGGTGCGGCGCTTTGGGCCAACAAAAACGGGTGCGCGGCTCCCAGTGCCCGCACCGGCTTGCTTATACCATGCCATAATTGTCGCGCGCGCCATCCTACTACATCCTTCTCACCGCACGAAATCGCGCCGTTATTGCCGATGCCGTCGTCGGGGTCGTTTCTCCGCACGCGCGCTCGACTCGGTTAATATGTACCAATCAAACGAAAATATCCTTAATTCCTGCTTAATCAAAAATAAATAAATAATGATAATATCACCAAGCAAAACAACCGGGGTCTGGGCCGGCTTTGCGATCAACAACAGAAAAGAATCACGCGCGCCTTAAACCTGCGCGCCCACGCACTCGCCATTGTGGTCAACCATCCTGCCAACGTAATTACAGACGCAACCGCGCTTAGCGCGGTATACTTAAACTCTAGATTAAAACTATTTTCTGTCACTTGCCAAAAACCACGGTGGATACCCTTGTAAGGGTATTCACACCGACAACGTGGCACTGTGTCTGACGTGGCACTGCTGACGTGCACTGTGTCTGACGTGGCCATGCTGACGTGGCACT